TAAGCTGTTAAAGCAGTGTGCAGAGATGTAGAGTAGATTGCTGGTTTTATATGACAGCAGGTTTAACCAAATACTCTGAGATGATTAAGTTTTCATTTATAACTAAGATTTGTTTCCTCTGTGTAACTTTAGCCCAGAAGGTTTAAAGCAGATGGTTTATTACCACAAATTAGGACGGAAAAGAAGAACCCGAACAATCCATAATTTTTATCGCTCCACTTACAAACAAATGACAGTTTAAAGTTTGCATAACTACAGATAGCTAGCCTGAAGGTGGGAGTGGTTTCTATTCTTTTTCTTAGGGGGATCTGATGGGTGTTGAAAGTGATGAAAAAAAAAAAACCTTAGACCAGTAACCAACATGAACATTGTCTTCATTTGTTAAAAGCTTTAAAAGTGGATTAGAACATTCAAGATTTTTTGTTAATCATTTCAACTGTAAAACACAGTGGTGGAAGCATTATGCTGAGGGGGCTGGTTTGCTTCCTTCAGATTATTTGGGTTCAAGCTCAGAACCAACCACTAGAAGTATAAAAGTTGGAAACAACTCGTCTCTACCAGTTCTCTACCAAGAAATGTGGTCGAATCAAATCTTTCAAGAATCTTATTGACGGATACAGTAAGTTTATGTATAAGATGCTATGTGCTGAGGGACATTAAACCAAACACTAGTCACCTAACTGGAAAAGCGGACCCATTCGTATGACACTAAAGACACGCCATATAACTTTTGGGCCACTAGGGGCACTAGACTTCAGTCAGCCGGCCAGTTTCCCATGTGTTTTGATTGGGGGGCCATGCTTGGAGTCTAGGTTCAGCTCAGAGGGTGTTAGAAATGCTGCTGCAGGGTCAGACAGGGCATTCTTCCAGGTCACATGACCTGGCCAACGACAGTGTGTCTTCTCCCAATTTAAATAGGTGATATTTCAAAATGGGAGGCCTACTCGTAGCATTGATAGTCTCTCTGTATATTGATCATGTAAAATAAGTCATACATGTCAACTCTTTAGGTCAGTCCGCAGTGTGCCTTTAATCAAACAGCTTAATGGGGACCAAGGAACATATTCATTTGTGGGGTTAGATTACTAAAAAAAGGATATTTAAAGTATATCAATATTAAAATGCTTCAAACAAGTGTAGTGAATTATCAGAAAGAAATATCTTAGTCTGCCAGCTCAAAGTAAAATCCTACATATGACAACTTGCTAGAGCTCCAAGTAAGTCAGCTCCTAGTAGCAGTCTGACACCTGCTGGCTGAAAGAGTGAACTGTTTTTACTGCTTCTGAAATCTAAAGGGATGTTTTTAATATACAATATCAGATCACAAAACAGGAAATAAAAGTTATTATAAATAATAAATAAAATGCATTGTTAAAATAACAAAAATTAGTCCGAAATTCGAATCCTTTCAGCCGGCTATAGAAAGATTAGCCAGGTCACTCAAAATGAAGCCATGTCGCCCCTAAACTGCCTAAGTCCCGCTCCACACTATAAGGACAGTCGTATTGTCTCTTCACATGATTTCAGACCGCTAATACTGTGATGGACAACATCTCCTCGTTAGTATAGTGGTGAGTATCCCCGCCTGTCACGCGGGAGACCGGGGTTCGATTCCCCGACGGGGAGGAAATTCCTTTTTTTAAGTGGTATGAAATTTCTGTCTCTAACAGATCCTCCTATTACTTTTATAAGAAAGGAGCTATCCAATCATAAACCAGTGCCTGCAATCAATAATGCCCTATTAATAATGTAATTAAACTCTAAAGACTAAGCATTAACCTGATTTTTTTTCCCTTTCACATGAACCTCTAACATTCCCCTTCATTGTTTAAGACAAAAGCTACTTCCTTCAGATCTGAATCATACTGCCAATTTTTTTTGTTTGTTTAGTTTGTTAATATGGGCCCGGTAGACCATGTGCCAAAACAGTCCAAGATCTGACACAAAGCACAGCTGGGTGAGCTGCTGTTATTCATTCTCTCCACCAGGGGGCTGCCTGCACTCTTGAGAAATCTGTTCTCTTCACATACAATGGACACAGTCTGGAAAGGTTAGTAGTTTGTTTATTAATACAGATTATATCTATTCAAAACATTACAAATCACCATATAGTTTTGGATTTTTTTGATACAAGCTAGACATTCTTGGTATTTTTTGCCAGTGAATTTGAATATAAAACATGCAGAGAGCATTGTTGCCTATCTGCCCAGGTCAGACACACAGTTTTACTGTGTGCCACTTGGTGGTGTCAACTGTTATGACTAGGTTTAAAGGTGAGAAACTGAGAGGGGTTTCCAGCACTATACTACACTTGGATTACACCTTTAACAATAACATATACAAAGGTGCAAACCCTTGATAAATATTATAATTTTATATAATAGTATTACTATTATTATTATTTATAATTTGTTCACTGCACCTTAGGACTGTTCACTGAACTTTTATAATGTAAATACGTGTGGATGTTATGTGATTTTTTTACTTTTCTTTATCTTATTGTGTTGTGACTGTCACTATGTGTAAAGCTGCTGCTACACTACAATTTCCCAGCTTGGGATAAATAATTAAATCTATTCTATTCTATTCCTAACAATGAAAGTGGAAGGATATTAGGTATTCAACAAAAACATTAAGAGCAAAAACCTCCACACCTACATCTTAAGAGCCTGAAATGTCCATTCTTTAAACTTGCATTATGTGCCCCACACCAGTGTTTTTCAACCCTGCATGTTGGAAACAAGAAAAAAAAAAAAAAAAAGTAAAAACAATTGTTTCTCCCCGTCGGGGAATCGAACCCCGGTCTCCCGCGTGACAGGCGGGGATACTCACCACTATACTAACGAGGAGATGATGGTTAGACCACATTCCTTCAGGTTAAAAAAGTGGCAATGCCATATCTCTTAAGGGCCTTGACTTGGAGAATACATGGGTTGAGAATTTAATCCTTAAATGACAGAACTGTCTAACCCGGCGGTTTTCAAAGTGTGAGGCGCGCCTCCCCTAGGGGGCGCCAGAGCACTTTAGGGGAGGTGCAAAGGAAAAGATAAATATGTATTTAGGACAAAGTTTGCGGCCTCTATCTCTATCATTATCACTACTGATAAGGCTTTTTCATACTTATGTAAACAAAATGACAAAGTCTTCTAAAGTCTAAGGTCTTTACT